AAATCTCTGTGTGTGTACACATCCACACCACCTGATTTTGCAGCTACCCCAAAGCATTGCAGTGGGCATGGAAATGGGTTCAGGGATGTAAAGTGGATTAATCTGTGAGGGAGCTGCTTGTGTGTGTCCATCTAACCCAGTTGCACCAGCACAAACACCTTGTACAATCTCCAGCACCTTCCTGAATTCCCTCCTTCCCTTTATTCCCATTCCAGTGCTGACACAGGGTTCATGTCCTTCGTGCAATCCCAAAGCAAATTCTGGGTGTGCCCTTGATGTGATTCCTCACTCACTCAGCCCCAGAGTGCAAATTCCATACTTCCTTAATGTTCTGTTCTTGTTTTGGTGCCTGTTTTGTCTTCTCCAGGTCTCCCTGTGTCTCTCTAAGGGGTTCCAAGGACTGTCCCTGCCCAGTTTATCCCCTCATTTCCCTCATTGCTTTGGACACTGGTGCTTTGCAGCCTTATTTGCAGTCCCTTGATAGTTTTGTTTGCATTCTCTTGCCATTGATGTTTAACGAAGGAAGTGATATGGTATTAGAAAAACCCTCTACACAAACAGAATGAGGTCACTTTAGGTAAAAGAAAACCATCTAAATCACAGGAAGAAAATGTGTGAGAGAGATTTTAGACACGGAAAGCCAGCCAGCCTTTTCAACCTTCTCTAACTTAATAAATTAATAAACAGCTGTTTGGCTTTTCAGATTTTCTCAGCAGTAAGTGTTGTTAATCAATTTTTAATGCAGCAATTAAAAAGATATGAAAGCTGCTATCCAGCTTTCACCAGAATAATTGATTTCTGTATGACCTTAACTATCTCAACTGTTCTGCTTCAGCATAAGAGCTCCATGTAGATAATATGAATAGATCCAACGGAAGTCAGAAGAAAACATAGCCATGTTTATTTTAAAATGTCTTCCAAAATGTTCCTGGCAACCTAGTGACTCTCAAAAATAAGGCCACTGTGTATTTTAGATGTCAGGCATTTATTCTGCCTGCATATTTATGAGGAATGCAAATAAAAACCCATCTGAAATATCTGGCACCTAGGGCTGCAAATAACGCTTTCATAACTCCAGTAAGAATAAGCAAAGTGAAGCAGTAATTATTTGTGTTTAAACATCAGATCTGCTGGGCTTTTCAGTTGAAATTGAAGTCCATAACCATAGGAATTCCCAGATTTGGTGTGCTGTGCCCTGGAATTGAGGCACTCAGAGCAGTGGTCCTGAGGTGTCTGGGGTACATCCCATGCTTGGGGGGCACAGGAAGAGAGAGGCTGTAATTGCATCTCATCCTGGGCTTTAGTGGAAGTGCCAAGATGAGGAAACTGATCTCTGGGATGAGTTTACTCCCTGAGGATGGGGTTGGTGCTGTTCCCTTATGCAGTCAGTGACTTGGATCAGAACGTGCTCATAGACACCTGCAGAATTTTCTCCACTCCTTGAGACAGACCCAGACAGGATTTAATCAGGGTTTAAGCTCCAAAGGAGGCCCAGGGTGCTTTGTCCTACTCCTGTGGCCATCCCATGCCTCAGCTCTGCTCACAGATACATTACAGGTGAAATGGGGTTACTGAAACATTCTGCTGCTGTTTTCCAGGTAACTGCATTTTGTGATGTTGATGAAAAGAAAATAACAAAAGGATTCTACACCTATGAGGAATCTGAGGTGAGTTATAGGCACTCTTGCATTCTTTATTGTGATCTAGAAGTGTCCTGAGGAATGTGATGAAGGAATTTGTCACTGATCTTGTAGTTGTGCAGCTCATTTTGGTGGAGAGGGAGTGACAGAACATTGGAGGGCTGGGAATGGACATTGGAATGCAAACTGGAGCCAGGACTGTCAGCTTCACACTCAGTGAAGTCAGTTTAGAAAGACAAAAATGCTTATTCTGAAAGGACCCTGATGATGGGGTAAAACAGTCTTCACTGACAGGTGTGTCTTCTAAATGGGAGTGGAATTTGGTTTATGAAGGAACCCTCAAAATTGAAAATTTTCCAACTAATTATCTTGTGAATCAAATTACCCTGATGGGAGTGAGACTGAGGGAAGGAGGGACAGGAGGGCCCCTCCTCAGGTACAGCATGGAGGAACTGTACAATTCCATACTGGGAAAACACTGAGTGTTTGAGCTGCATGGAAGCAATTGGGATCAGCATTTCAGCCTGGAATTCTGAGGACTCGCTGCCCAGCAGCTCAGTAACACTGTCAGTGTGACTGACACAAATCCTGGGCATTGGTCTTCCTAAAACAAGCCCATTTTCTCAGATCAGCTGCAAAGATTGTACTGCAGCTGTTGGGAATCCTTACAAAATCCTGCAGCTTGGATCTGTGCTGAACCCAGTTGAGCTTTAGCCCTTTAACAGCTCCCAGCAGGAGGGAGGGATCCTCCTCTGTCTCTGCCCTTGTGCCTGCTCTGATGCTGTCTGAGGGCACAGGAATGGATGCAGTTCACTGAAATGGCAAAAAATTAACCAAAAAAAGAGGAACAGTTTGTTATGGGACAAGCCGTTGAAGCTGCACACATTGCCCATCAGGTCAAAGAGGGAATTGTTTGAGAAAGGGCTGGAAGTAGAATTTGGAGGTGAGGAGGAAGCAGTGGAGCAGTGAGAGCTGCTCCTCTTGGGAGCAGAAATTCAGATTTGGTGTAACTTCACACGACTGCACTGAAACACAGGTAGAGAATGAGCAAGCTCTCTTCAGCATCACAGCTCAAAACATTTTTCCCCCATTTTGAGTTTAGCAGCTCCTAAAACCAAGCTGGCAAATAACCTGAGTGCTTCTGTACCCCTTCCTCCTGCAGGAGAGACCAAAACCAAAAATTCCTGTGTGTCACTTCAGGGATGCAACTCCACCCTTTGTGATCTGTGTGAAGCTGGTGAGTCCCACCCTTGGCTTCACCTGCAGGAGCAGCATTTGCTCCTCAGGAAAATGAGTTTCTATTCACTCTATGTGCCTTTTCCCACAAGCCTTTGTTCTACTGAATGGCTTTTTTTATCACACTGATTGTGCAGGATATTTTAGGATTTAAATCAGCAGTCTTGGGTAAAATTTAGAAAAGGGACAGCTTCTGTGAAGGGGCTGGATCTGTTGTACTTCTTTCCCCAGTACCAAATACACCCCAATGAGCACATGCACTCACCTTCCTTTGGGCCAAGAATTTGGAGCCCCATGTATGGCAAAAATCAGATCTTAAAAAGCATTTTGTTTGGCCCTGCCAGTTCGGAGGCATCTTCTGTATCTGACTGTGGTAACTTATTTCAACTGGTTTAATTGTCCTGATACTATAATTAGATGATAACCAGCATTTCTTCTGCTGTTGTAACACAGATTTAAAATAGCAAATACATTGCAGTGGTAAAAAACAATAAAAACCCTTTTGACAGCAACTAAAACCTGCAGCTCCACACAACACTGACATTGCAATGCTGGGCTGATCTCTTCAGGGATGGATCAGCTGGATCTCCTCTCCTCTGGTACAGCCTGATTTAACTCGGCACTCCCAACCTCCTGATCAGCTCTGGGCTTAGAACTTGGGCTGTAAAGCCAGACTGGGAGTGCCTTGGGCCATTTTCCTTTACTGCTGCTTGATAAACTCTTGGATTAGCAAAGAATATTACAACTAATTTAATTTTTCATACTGCATATAACAGTGGGTGGAAGTCCCCAGACAAAACATCTGTGCAACCTGTTCTGAAGCACATTTAATCTGTGAAGCCCTTACAATGAGACTATTATACAACATCTTGTCTGCAAACTCTGCTCTCTGACTGCAGTTGGGATTTCAGTCTATTTTTCCCCTCATGGCCACTGAGCATTTTCTGCTTGCTTATTCTTCACCAGCCAAAGTTCATCATCATTTTCTGAAGATGGAAGTGTGCTTTAAGGGGCTTTATTGGCTTTTATTTTGCTGTTCAAGGTAGGGGATTATTTTTCCTTTTGATACAGACAAAACCTGCATGTTCCTTTGCAGCTCTGAGGGCGATTTTGGAGATTAGATGTGTTTATTAAGTGGGCTGTTTACAAGAAGTGGCTCTCTTGGCCATGTACTTGGAGCAGCATTGGCTCATTTATTTTTTCAGGCAGTTCCTCCCTTGTGAGCACTGGCATGGCTTTGGTACCAGAGCAAATCCTTCTGCAAGAAGCAGGCATCCTCTGATCTTTGCTCATTTTACAATGGTTTCACAGGCAGCTGGGGCTGGAATTCTGCTCTCTGTGTGTGAGTTTTTGCTGAAGAGAATCAAAGTGTGGCTTTAGCTGCTCAGGGCCACTTCACCCAAGGGTTTGTGCTCCCTGTTTGCTCTTGCTTGGAGGTAAAAGCAAAATGCTTGGAAATGCTGCTTTGTGCCCTGCCTTGGCTTGGATTCCAACGGCTGGAAATGAAAGGGATTTTTATTTTTCTGTCACAGCAATTAAAGCAGTTTGATTGTATAAAGTTTTCAGAAAATTTGTAGTTAAATCTCTTATTGTACAGCCCCGCCTGGCTTTTCCTGTGCTTTGTGAATGAAAGATTTGTCTTTAACTCTCCCACTTAATTTAGCATCTGGACTCGTGGTTTTTTTAAACCCTCTATAAAGCAGGTTATTTTTTTTTCCACTCCTTCAGTTCCAGTTGGATTCCCTTTCTGTAACTTCCCATCTTAAACATTCACAGTTAAAACTTCACTCTTGCTGTTCTGGGCCAACCACACAAACATTAATTTTTTGGGGGACTTTTTTTGGTGACATTCCTTAAGAGCAGTAATTCAGGATTGCAGGAAGTGCCCAGGAATGCTGAATTTGCCCTGTTTTCTTAATGACGTCACTGAGGTTGCTCAAGGACCAAATGTAGCCAGTTCCTGTCCTGAAAACATGACTGGGGCTCAAAAGGAAACACCTTTAACTCTGCAGAGTACTTCATCTGCTTGATGAAGGGCTTGTTTTATCAGTCAACCTAATCAGTGCTCAGAATCCACCCAAACCCCTTGTTTTGTCCATTTTCTGCCAAAGTCAGAGTTGGCAAACACCAGAGCAGAGCTGGGCTGAGCAGCCTTTGTGTGCCCCAGAGCAGCACTGCAGAGGGAGGAGCTGTCTGATATCCCCCAACACTGATTAGAACACTAAATTTTCAAAATCCCCTGAATTTTTCAATAGAAACTTTCCTGAGCCGTGGTTTATTTGTTTAGTTCTGCAAATGGGACTTTCTTCTGTGGCCTGAAGAATCAGTGACCCCAACCTGCTACAGCCTGAAATGAGTTTGAGCTCATTTTCTTCTTCTTCCCTCACAGGACATGACAGGTGGAGCCTTTGAAACAAACCTGGCCACGCTGAACCTGAAGGAAGGGAAGGATTATTATCACTTTAACTAAAGCAAGGTGAGGCAGTGCTGCTCTCTGTGTGTCTGGGTGCAGGAAAACCAAATTCTTCAGGGATTTAGAACTTTTTAGTCATTTGGGATTTGTTAATTTAATCTTTGGGCTGAGTAACCCCTTTGTAAGGGAGGTCACATTTACACCAGGGTCATTCTGTGTGCATTACTTTTTACTGTGCACATTAGTAGTTATTATTGGGTTTTTTTTACTGTGTGCATTACTACTTTTATTGTTGCATATCACTCAGTTTGCTGGTAAATTGTGATTAACAGTCAGTGAGCTCCACTAATTCCAACTCCCAGTCCAGCTTGCAGGAATCCTTAAGAAGTATTGAATAATCTCATTTATAGTTACTTTCTTCAAAACCAGAGTCTGAGCCAGCCAGGTTGGAAGTGAACACCTGCACTTTGCAGCATTGACATCACAGAGAAGCTGGCTTGGTTTTAGCTTCTCTGCCTGTATTTTTCCTTCCTTTCACATTTGTAGAGATGTGTCTATACACACACAGCCACTGTTCTACTGCTGGCACTTAATTACAGCCATAAAATAACAGTGTAATTACAATAGAATGTGGCCTCCCATCACATTGAGCTCACTAAAGATCAACTTCAGAGTGATTTCATTTTGTAGGGGGTAAGAAATGAGCTGGAGTCCTGGCAGTCTGGTGTCTCCCAGCAGTCCTGGAGCTGCTTGAAGAACTGCCTCACCTTCTTCAAAACTGAGTTTACCACAAAAACAGTTTGTCTGAATTAGTTACATAAAGAGCTGTTAAGCTCTTTATTTGTTTAAAGCTGTTTATTTGCTTATTTGTTAAGAGAGGCTTTGACATCAGCTGAAGTGAAACCTGGGTTTTTTTGGTTAACTATGACATAGGAATAACAGACTTTTCCACAGGGACACTTGGTGCTCAGGATGATTTCAGTATCACTGAGTGTTGCCATTCTCACCTCTGAAAAATCAGTCTTGAAGAGATCAGTGCAGCAGGTCAGGTTTAATTCTTGCTGTGTGTACAAGCACAGGCTCCATTCAGGGAGGTACAAAACCCTGACACCAAACCAGACAGCTCAGAGCATGACAAGAACCTGCCAGACAGCAACATTAAAAACTGAAAACAAGGAATTTTTGTCTTCTTCCTGTGGCACAGGGGTGCTTTCAGGCAGGCTCAGGTGTCAGGATGGTCAGGATGTCACAGCTCAGCCTCTTCCCACCCTGGAACCACTGAGCAGCTCCAGGACAGCCCAGCAGCAGGACCTGCTCTCCTCATGCTGAACTCTGCAGGGGGAAAGGGAAAGGGAAAGGGAAAGGGAAAGGGAAAGGGAAAGGGAAAGGGAAAGGAAAAGGAAAAGGAAAAGGAAAAGGAAAAGGAAAAGGAAAAGGAAAAGGAAAAGGAAAAGGAAAAGTCACTTGGAGCAAGCAGCCCCCCTGCTCCCCCCACCCACCACCTTCACCTTGGAATTCCCAGTGAGGGGGGAATTTTGGGTTGCAGGTGGGAGATTTTGGGGAGTTTTACACTCAGAACAAACTCCCAACTCCCTGCTTTTCCTGGGAACTGGAGAACTTTGTTTTTTCCAGGAAACAAGGGGAAAGAAAACCCCAACCACCTGCTTTTCCTGGGAATTTGAGGGGGAAACCCCTGTTTTTAACAGGAATTAAGGAAAACCCCCCCAAACTCCCCATTTTTCCTGGGAATTTGGGAGATCCCTCCCTCCAAACCCCCCCATTTTCCCTGGGCAGGATTTGGGATCCCAGATTTACCCCCAGACTCAAGACCATCCCAAATCCATCCTGGGGGGCTTTGGGCACAACAGGGAGGAAGTAAAATCCCCCCCATCCCTTCCATTCTCAATTTTTCTGGAGGGAAATTTGGGATTTTGAGCCATTTTTTGGGGGGAACTGCAGCTCCCTGTGGCATTGCTGTCCTAACATTTCCCAGCCCTGTAACTAACTAACCCAAACAGAAAAGAAAATATAAAGCTGTAATATTCAGTCCTTTTAACCCCATGGTTTGAAGTCCCTCCAGCAAATTTCATTTGTACAAAATTGAAAGGAGTAGAAAGTATTGATTTCAGCTGAAGCCAACTTCATTCTCCTTTTTATCCTGCCATATCTCCCTCGGAGATACTTGGATTTAGATGTATTTAGATATTTCTTATTATTTTAGATATTTTATTATTTTAGATCTTTTATTATTTTAGATATTTTAGATATTTTATTATTTTAGATATTTTATTATTTTACTATTTTAGATATTTTTAGATATTGTTATTTCTTAATATTTTAGATATTTCTTATTATTTTGTTTATCCTAGAGACAGCTCTCTCCTAAAGTATGTCTTCTCTAAGCTTTCAAAAATTAAGGATTAACACAAGGAGTTTTTTGAGATCAGAGAGTTTATCTTGTAAGATCTCTCATTTTGAGCATAACTTTTTTATTACTTGATTTAAAAACTTTCAAAAGCAAGACTCAGGTCAGTTTTTGTTCTAAAAACAACTCCTTGCTGGGCAGGAGGTTCAGACTCTTATTTCCCAGAATTATAAAAATGTTAGCTGAGGTTTCTTAAAATTGTACTAGAAGCAGATGGTAAAAACTGGAAAATGAGTGAAGACACTGCTATGAGCAGCAGGAGGTCTTTGAAGGGTATTCATAGTGTCTTAAGAATGAGTCTTTAAAGAAAGATAAATATTTATATCTACACAGCAACACATATTCTTTAAAACACTAAAAAACCTCTTCTAGAACCTCTACCAAAGCAGAAAGTTCTGTGCTTCTGAAATGCTGAGCTGGGTGGGCATGTCCAAACTATCTAAAAATATACATTACATACATACATATATATATATATATTTATGTATATATATACACTTTATGGTTTTGTATGCTATCCATCCACAGAGGCAGTGGTTTGCACCACCTCATGCCATCATTTGCTGCTGAAATGGAGAAGTTGCTGTCGCTTCCCCTTCCCCAGGAAGGGCAGAGGAGCAGGGGCTGCACATCTGGGTCTGGAATGCGGCGCTGCCAGCCTGGAATGCTCCCTGGAACGGGGCTGGAGGGCCTCAGGCAGCAGCCTCAGCCATCCCACGTGTTCTGCAGCTGGCTGGGAACATCCTCAGGGACAGCTCCATGGAAAAAGCAGCCCCTGGAGCACATTCCCACCTCACCTTGGCCACCAGCTGGGGTCTGGGCACTCTCATGAGGTCGCAGAGGCAGTTTCGTCTCTCCCTCACCACGGGCAGCTCTGCTTCCCTGCGACAGCAAAGGTGATTTCCAGTTAATTCAGGAAAATCCATAAAACATCCATGAAACATCCTCAGTGATCCCTGTCACCCCTGCACCACAATGGCTGTGTCCTTTCATGCACATTTCAAATGACAAGGGTTTTTTGTTGTGCCTCCTTTGAAGGCTAAAGGACAATTTTTGTACCACCCTAAGTCAGATAAACCACAAATACACACCAGATCTGCCACAGGTCTAATAAAATGGCTAATTTTAGCTAATATTAGCCACTGACTAATAAAAGGTCCAAGACTATTCTTTTATAGGGTTTTATATTAAAAACCCCCACTTATTTGTACAACTTTTTTGATTAGAAGTTCATTTAATTTATTCTCTAAAGTGATTGGATTTGGAAAAGACTCTCCCATCCCCTCTAAAGAAAAAGCAAAAAAGGGTGAGTTATTTATAACTTCAACCTTTTTTTTTCACACCTTGGACAATTTGTTTTATTTACCACTGGAAATTTCCCTGTGGCTAAACAAAGTGCATTATTTATAGAGTAATTTGTTTAAACTCTGCATGACACGATTGTATGATAAAGTCTCTGGAGTCCCAACAAGGAAAATATGTGCATCCCAGTAATTACCATACTCCTTCAAATTCTCATTCGGCTTCCTGCTGCTAATACTTAGGGTAATTCAGAATTTAAACTGATTATTTTAGCACTGAGAGACCTTGAGGAAAACAAGCAGCTCACTGTGACACTCAGCAACAACTTCAAATCTCTTTTTCTGTAAATAGCTCAAATCTACCAAAATAAAACAATTAGGTTTTCAGTAAATGAGCCCTTTGTATTTCATCTCAGAGCAGTGGCCACAGTGCAGCAGGGCACTCAGGGCTTGCTCCCAGCCAGAGTAAGCCAGGCACACCCTAAAAATGACAGGGTGAAAACAGAATATTCATTTCTCTGGAGTGTTTTTCTGGGGAAGTGTTTTGATTTGATTTAGGAATGAGTTGTTTATGAGCAGAGCTGAACTCCACAGCTTCTCCTGTAGCACTGTGAGTGGAACCATCCCTGGTGACCGCACTCAGCTCATCCTGCACTGTCAGGAACAAATCCCTTACACAATTCCTGAGCCAGCCTGCCCTTAAATGCAGGTTTGCTCATGGAGCTCTGACTCACACCCAACACAATCCTAAACTTCCACCTGCATTAAACAAGGAATTGTAACCACAGCAGAACTGCTGGCAACCACTCCTTCCAACCTGAGACTCCTGTTCCAGTTTTGTACTGGAAAATTCAGAAAAAGAGCAGCAGCCACCCCTGCTAATGATAAACTCAGATAACCTTTTCACAAATATAAAGTTCTTTAAGCTCAAGCATGGAAATAAACTGGAAACTACATAAAAGTCAAACAATGTAACTGCAATCTGCAACTCTGTCACCCATCCTTAAGGTGTATTTGTTCTTTGAGCTTGTCAGGAATAAATTTATTTCTATGAAATGTCAATAAAGACAAAAAGCAATTTAATATAATGACTAAATAAATTATATATTTTTCTATATTTGTCTGTTCTCTGTGACTGCTGTTTAGGCCAGGTCTGCGACAAGGAAAAATGTTTAACAAGGCAGCAAAACTAATAAACTAATTATTACCTTAAAATTCTGTATTTTCTCAAACCTGCCCAGCTAATAATGCCCAATGCTAGAATTTGCAGAAAGGAGAAAATCCAGTGCCAAAAATGCTGATTCCCTGCTCCTGTCACTGCAAAGGACAGGAGTCCTTTGAGAATCATGGAATGATTCTCTTGCTCTAAAAGTCACTGGATCATGCTCATGAAGAACAGGACCCTCTCCCCCTGCCCCTGGAAGGAGGTAAGTAAAAAAAAAAAAGAATTACATTCTATCAAGTGGTTGTTTAATTCATGCCATCCTATCCTGGGAAACATCTAAACTGCTCCAATTCCAAATCTTTGCTTGAATACAAGGCTTGTAGCATGTTGAGTAATTACATTTCATGGGAGATTTGAGCTGTTCTGCTAATTCTGTTGTTTTCCAGCTTGCAGAGATCCTTCCTTTCCCCAAATCCTGCCAGTGCTCGTAAATGCCAAGAAACTGTCTGTGCACTTGAAGTTTGACTGTTTGCACAGCCCAGTCTCTGCTTCGTGGAAAACTTCCAAGATTTCCTCCCTTTTTATGTTGTTAGAAAAATATGGCTATTTTACTTTATCTAATGGTGATTTTATACATCCCCTTCCAGTGGGCCAGGATCCTGGAGAGCTCTTTAGAGCAGTGAAATGTCGTGGAAGCAAGAAAGAGCTGAACCTGAGATATCACAGCTTTCACAGGCACTCAATTTTGGTCACTCCAGGGCACAGGGGCTGTTTGGGGACAGCACTGCACTCACCAGTTGGTGTCACTGAGGATGGCCATGGCCTGCTCCATGATGGCCGGGTCCACCACGTCACTGTAGGTCAGCAGCATCTCATACACCTGGCTGGCCGTGGTCTTCCTGATCTGCAGGGATGGGGAGAGGCAGCAGAAAGCCAGGCCAGAGCCACAGGGATGCTGAGGGCAGGGGACACACAGGGACCAGACAGGCCAGCTCCTGGGA